ACACACACACACACACACACACACACACACACCACACACACACACACAACACATACATATATATATATATATATATATATATATATATATATATATATATATATATATATATATATATATATATATATATACGTTACATATTCGTTACAGAGCAAACGCATCAAACAAGTTTTTGAACTCAGCGTGACGTCATACCGCTTGCCGTGGGAGCCATGAACCCCTTTTGGAATATTCACCTTCACTCTTACGTCCTTCTTAATTCCTCTTTAAATTATGGAGGGAAAAAGTGACAGGCGAGGGAAATGAAAAGGAAGGAGGGAGGGAGGAAGGGAGAAGGGAGGGAGGGAAGGTGGGAGGGGGAGGGAGAAAGAGAGGAGGGGAAGGAAGGAAGGCATGGCGAAAAGAGTAAGAGGCGGAAGGAAGGGATAAACAGGGAACAAGGAGAAAAGAAAAAAAGGAGGAAAGGAGGGAGGGAATAAATAGAGGAAGGAGTTGAGGGAGGGAGGAGAGAAGGAGGGAGAAAGGAGGAGAGGACGTGGGGAGGGAACGAGGGGGGCAGGATGAAGGAGAGAGAAGGAAGAAAAAGGAAGGAAGAAGAGAGAATGAGTTAAAGGAGAGAAAGAAAGAGAGGGAGAGAGAGGGTGACATGGCAGACATTCACCACCCACCATCATCATCGTATCTTTCTTTGTCTTATTTACATATTTACTTTATATCCATAAAAAAATAACTGAATTAAATCAAAACAAATTGAAGCTAATATATCCTCATTGCATTACTCTCCTTTCATCGATTGTCCATTCTCCCGTCTTGAAATTCGTTCTTAAAGGAACTAATGAACCTCAATTATCATTGTTATTAATTTATTTATTATAGATTTTTATTTATTTTGTTTTTATTTTTTTATTCTTATAATTTTTCATTTTCATCTATTTATTCTTACCTTTTTCATTTTTTCTTCTATTTTAAGTTCTCGTGTCGGTGTCTGACATTTTGGGAAAACAGAGGTTTTTTCCGAAGGTTCCCCAAACGTTGGATTGTTTTTTTGGAATTTTGAGTTTGGGGATTTAAAAAAAACTAAAAATTCCCAAAAAACAAGTTTAAATTTTTGGCAATAATCGGTTTGATTTGATTAGTTGTTTTTTGAGATTTAAAGAAGTGGTTATTTATCTGGAGTGTGGTGGTATTCAACTCTCCTAATCTT